CTTTCTCTTTGTTTCTGACTCTCCTAACATTCTCTACCTCTATCCTATCTTTCTCTATCTTCATTTCCCTCTCTATCTCTTTCCGTCATTCATCTCTCCTCTTCTCTCATTTTCCATCTTTCCCTCTGTCTACCTCTCTTTCTTCATCCCTCACTCCCTCTCACTTTTTCTCTTCCTCCTCTCTCACTCTCCTTTTCTCCCTCTCTCTCCCTCATTCCCTCTCACTTTTTCTCTTCTTCCTCTCTCACTCTCCTTTTCTCCCTCTCTCTCCCTTCTCTCTCCCTCATTCCCTCTCTTTCTCTATTTCCCCCGTTTCCCTTCCTCTGTATCCTTCTGCCTCCTTCTTCTTTCTTTCTTCCCCTTTCTTTCTCTCTCTCATTTTTCCATTCTTTCCTCCATTTCTCTCTCTCCTCCCCCTCTCCCTGTCTCCTTTCTTGTTTCGCTCTTCCTTTCTTCCTGTGGCTCCCTCCTTCCTCTTCTCTCTCTCTCTCTCTCTCCCTCCTTCCTTGTTCTATCTATGTCACCCTCTCCCCACCCCCTTTCCCTACCTCATGTCTCTTTCCTCTCTCTCTCCATTTTTCCTCCTCTCTCACCTTTCCTCTCTCTTCCCCCTCCCTCTTTGTCTCTCTGCCTCTCTCTCCTCGCCCTGTCTCTCCCATTTCTCCTTCCCCTCCTCTCCCTTCTCCATCTTTCTGCTTCTCTATCTCCTCCTTCCCAGTTTTTCCTCCTGTCTGTCTCTCCTCTCCTCTGTCTCTCCCTCACTCTTTCTCTTCCCCTTTTCTTTCTCTCTGTTCCCCCTCCCCCTTCACTCTCTTGTTCTCTCCTTCCTTCCATCTTTTTTCTTTTCTCCTCTTTCCTCTTCTCTCCTTTCCTTTTTCCCTTCCTCCCCTCCTCTCTCCCAGCCTATTTCATTCTTCCTTTCCCTCCCTCCATCTCTGTTTTTCTCCCTTCATCTCTCTCTTCCTCTCTTTCTATTTTCATCCCTCCCTCTCACTGTCGCTCTCTTTTTCTCTCCCCCTACTGCTGTTCCCTCCCTCTTTCTCTTTTACTTTTTCTGCTTTTCTCTCTCTTCCACTCCTCTCTCTGTCCACCTCCCTTTCTCTGTGTCTCTCCATCTCCCATCTCTTCCCTCTCCCCGTTCCCTTGCGTTTTCTTTTCTCTCTTTCTCCTTTCCCTCTTGTCTCTCTCCCCTCCTTTCTCCCTCCCTCAATTCCTCCTCTCCCTTTGCTCTCTCCTTCCTCTCCATCCCACTCTCTCTTGCCTCTTCTGCTCCCTTCCTTCTCCTCCTCTCCCCTTCGTCTTTCTTTCTCTCCCCCTCTCTCCGTTCTTCCTTCTCTTTTGCCCCCCTCCCCTCCTTCTGTCTCCTTCTCCTTCTCTTCTTTTCTCCCTCCCCCTTCTGTTTCTCCCTGTCGTCTCTCTGTCTTTATCCTTCCCCTCCTTCTTTCTCTCTCTATCTCTGTCTCACTCTCTTTCCCTCTCCCTCTCTCTGCCTCTGTCTGTTTTTCTTTCTCCATCCATGCCTCTATCTTACTCCCTCTCCCTTCCTCCCTCCCTCTCTCTTCTCCTTTGCCTCCTTTCTCCCCCTACGTTCTCTCTCCCTCCCCCACTTCCCACTCTATTTCCTACCTCTTATCCTTCCCTCCATCTTCCTACATCCTTCCTTCTTCCTCGTCCTTCACCCCTTCCCTCCCTCCCTCTTCTCTCCCTTTTCTTTCCCTCCTCCCTTCCCCTTTTTCCTCCACCTCTTTCTTCATCTCTCCCTCCCTCTTTTTCTCCCTTCCATCTTCTGTTTCTCCTCTCTCTCCCCCTCTTTCTCTATATTCCCCTCCCCTTTCTTCCCTTCTCCTTCCCTCCCTTCCTCCTCTCCCTATTTCTCTTTCCATTCTTCTCTCCCTCTCATTCTACCTCCCCCTACCTCTCTCTCTTTCAGTCTCTCTCATTCTCCATCCCTCCCTCCCTCTCCTCTCTCCATCTGTTGCTTCCTCTTTTTTCCTCCCTTCTTCTCACTTCCTTTCTTTCTTTGTCTCTCACTCTCTTACCCCTCTGCCTCTTCTCTCTCTTTTCTTTCTTTCCCTCTCCCTTTCTCCTCTTTCTCTCCCTCACTCCCTCTCATTTCCTTCCCCTCTCTCCCCCCTTCTCTCCATCTTTTTCCCTCTCTCCTGTCCATTTCCCCTTTTCTCTTCTCTCTCTTTCTTATTCTTTACCTTTTCTCTCTCCCCTCTCTCCTTTCCTTGTTCCTTCCCTATACTCCCTCCCTCTTTTCATTTCCTCCCTCACTCCCTTCCCCCCTTTCCCTTGTCCTTTCTCTCCTGCCCTCTCTCTGTGTCCCCTCCCCCTTTCTTTCTACTCTCTCCCCCCTCCCCCTTCTCCCATTTTTTCTCTTTCCCCCTCTCTCCCTCCTTCCTTCCATCCTTCTCTCTCCCCTTTCTCTTTTCCTTCCTCCTTCCCCCTCTTGTCTTCCCTCTTTCCCTTCCTCTCCCTTCCTCCTTCTGTCTCTGTCTCTATCTGCTCCTCTCTGTCTTTCCCCCCACCATCCCTTTCTCCCCTCCCACCCTCTCCCTTTCTCTGTCTCTCTTTCTCTCTCTCATCTCCCCTCTCCGTTCTCCCTCCCTCCTTCTTTTGGTCTCTCTCTCTGTCTTTCTCTCCCTCTCTCTGTCTCTGTGTCTCTCTCTCTGTTTCTGTCTTCCTGTCTTTCTCTTCTGTCTCGGCCCCCCCCATCCCTTTTCCTGTCTCCCCCCCCCCCTCCTTTCTGTCTCTCTCTTCTCTGTGTCTCCCCCTCCTCACCATGCTTTTCTCCATTTCTCCTTGTCCTTGCTTTCTCTCTCCTCTGGGTCTCTCCATTTCCCTGTCTCTGTCTCTCTCTCTCTCTCTCTCCCCCCTTCTCTTTGTCTTTGCCTCTCTTCTGTACATGTGTGTCTATGTCTCTGTCTCCGTCAGAAGTTGCAGGAGGCCAGCGTCAGCTTGCTAGCAGGGAATGCTGCCTTGTAACATTCCTGTCCCACAGCAGACCTGGCTGTCTCGGGGGCCCTTGGTGAGGGTCCTCAAAGAGAAGCTCGCTGACCACTGCTCAGGTATGCTGTGGCGGGATTTCTTTCTCGGTCAGCTCCTCGATTCCGTGACTCTGTATGTGTCTCATTCTGAGGTGGGCTCTTACTCTCTGCTCATCAGGCTAGAGCTGGGCCCTGAGAGGTCCCCAGGTTCAGCCCTCCTGTTTTAGAAGTGAGCGGCCTGCAGCATAGAGAGGTTTGTAAAGTGTCCCACACCTCAGAAATGTCTGAACCAGAGCTTGAACCCAGGTTTTCCTGACTCTTAAGTCCCGTGTTCTGACCGCTGCTCCCCAGTTCTGTCCTGTGATCTTGTTAGATGTTTGTCTGAAGCTCACTGGGTGAGCCAGTGCTTTCTCCCTGCCCCACACCAGAAGGGGTCAGGGAGGGCCAGACCTCAAGGAGCTGGAGGTCCTGGATCTCCTTTCTGTGTCCTTTTAGCTCAGCCTCCAAGCTGGGAACAAGATGAGACTCTTTCACTGATGAATTGGATGGCGTGGGCTCTGAGTTCAGGTCGTCCTCCTCTGACCCCTCTTAGACTGTAACTCTGGCCAAGTCAGCTGACCTCTTCAGGGCTCCAGGCACCTCCAAGGCTTCAAGTTGCAGAGAGGGTAGTGATCTGCACTGGTGGAGGGAGTTCCCTTCTCCAGGAGCTCCCTGTGCCAGTGAGATCAGTCACAAGTGACGTCTCCAGTCAAAGGTTCTATCAGATCCTCTTGAAAGATCGTCTTCATTCCGTTGAAGGGAGCATAGATAGAAGTGTTATACCAGGGCCACATTTCACTGTTGCCACTTGGTAACTTGCTGGGTGACCTTGGGCAAATCATTTCCTCTCTGTGGGCCTCAGTTTCCTCACCTGCAAAATTTGTAGGTTGAAGTAGATGGCCTCTAAAGATTCCCAGCCACTTGCATTCTGTGATCCTTTGACCTTTCTGACCCTCAGTTTCCTTATCTGTAACATGTGAGGGTTCGGTTAGAGGCTGACTTGTAGGTCACTGGTCTTGTGTAAAAGGAGGGCGAGACTGAAGATCCTTTGGCCGTCATAGCAACCAAAAGAACTGGGAGGAGTCAGTACTTTGTGTTTGGGGTTAGGGGCAGTGACTACATCGCAGCTGGCCTGCACTCAGCTGTCTGGCCCTGGGCAAGTCACCTGACTCTGTTTGCCTCAGTTTCCTTATTTGCAAAATGAGGATAATAATTGCACCTACTTTCCAGAGTAGTGATGAGAATCACACACGATAGCGTGTGTGAAATCCTCCAGAAATCCTAGCTCTTATCGCTTGGTATTGGAGGTAAAGGCTGTTCTTAGCCTTGACTCTGAACTCTGGGATTCTGCTATAGATAATCCTCCCACCACGTGGCTAAGGCACCCAAGAGCAAGGCATTGTGTGTGTGTGTGTGTGTGTGTGTGTGTGTGTGTGTGTGTGTGTGT